CCACGGCGCGCAGTCCAGCAACGTCAAGGCCACGCCCACCCCGGGAGCTTCGGGGGCGTCGGCGCAGTCCCAGGCCCACGGCGCCAAGGCCAGCCCTAGCGGCAGTGCCAGTGCCAGTGGCAGCGCCCGCGCCAGTCCCGGTGCCACCAACGGTCCCAACGCCCATACGACCGGTTCAGCTAGCGGGTACACTCCTTTCAAGGGCGGTGCGGCCCCTATTACCAATGCTCTCCCTAGCCTGGTCTTCTCGGGGGCGCTGGCTGGTGTTGTTGCTCTGGTCGCGTACCTGTGAGGGGACTGCATGCGGTTTTCTTTCTCACTTGATGAGTTTGTTTGTTTATGAAGAAAGTGATCTCCAATCTGGGTGGTTATTTAATTAATATTCCCGCGACGGAATGGGTTTTGTTATTGTTACACGGATGACATCTTGATCGAATTTGTTTATTCCCCGTTCTGCAACACATGTATTTTAGACAGGACATGATCATCCCTAAATAGAATACTTGCAACGAAATGAAAGGGAAAAAAAAGAGCGAATGCGAACAGACGCTTTTTACAATGCTATCGACAGAAGTGTAATGCAATGCAATGCCAAGTCTATACCTGGAATCCAACCGGGGTATCAACGCCTGCACACACCAACATCTAGCCGGCCCAACAGTGTTATGCTAAATGTATGCAAAGAACAAGCCATTGCCATTGGCCATGCAACCCGAAAGAACGAATCAACTCTCATGCAAGATGAATATGCAATGCAGCAGGTCTTCATCTACCTGCCTGCTGCTGCTCCTGCTGGTCATCATGCTGCTGTTGCTGCTGCTGCTGATGATGCTTGAATGGATGCCGCACATGCCGCCACGTATCGGCTATCTCCCGCGGAAGAGGACTCCTCGCGCCCGGCCGTCCGGATGGCTCGCCCAGCGCCTTGCCCGTCACCAGCGACAGGCGCATCTTCTCCTGCCGGATCGCCGCCCGCCGTTCCTCCCGCAGCTCGTCGATCCGCCGCTGTCCGACCCGGTACTTCCGCGCCAGGCTCTCTTCCATCAGCGCGTTCGCGTCCAGCAGCTTCTTCGGCGCCGTCTGCACGATCTGGAACACCTCCATCGGATCTGACACCGCCAGGATCTCGCGCTCGCTCGCCTTGAAGATCGCCAGCGCCACCCGGAAAAACGTCTTCGACCCCTCGTAGAAGAAGCAATCCCACACCCGCAGCGTCGTCTCCAACGGCAGGCTGCCAATGAACAGCGACATCAGCCAGTTCGTCAGCCCCAGCGTGATGTCCGGCAGCCGCGTCTGCACCGTCAGCGCCGGCGGCTTGGCTCGCGACGTCGTCGGCCCGCTGCTGGCGATCTTGGTGTAAATCCCCGGCAGCGTCTCCTTCAACAGCACCATCAGAATCCACAGATCCACGTTGGCCCCCTCCAGGCTGATCTCATGCGTCCCCGGCAGGTAGTCCGTCGTGATGATGTGCAGCATCCAGAAAGCTTTTTCTTCCGGAAGAAACAGCAGCAGAAGTCCCGTGATGAAGTTGAGCGACTGCGTATACCCGATCCGGGGGTTGTGCAGGGCAAACGCGTACAGCACGCGACGCAGTGATCGGATCATCTGCGTCTCAAAAATCACCGATCGGTACTTGGGGTTGCTGCTTCCCGCCCCAGCGTCCTCCGGGATGGCCGGCATCTCAGGCTTGAAATGGACGTTGTCCGGAAACGTCCGATGGAGATCCCGCTCGATGTGCTCCTTGTCATCGTTGCTGGGCGATTCCATGGCCTGTCGAACCAGCTGCTCATAGTGTCCGGGATGGCGATGCATGTGCTCGAACCCGCCGGCGTAATAGAACCACGCGGGTCCGCGGTACTCGCTCGGAATCCCCTTGCGGACGTATCGTTTGACCTTGGACGACTTGGGCGGGAAGGTCACCGGCGACTGCGTAGGCAATCCGCTTGCTTCCAGAAGCTCAACCCACTTCAATCGCCGGTGCTCCACAAAGTTCGCATACGGCCCGTTCCACGAGTCGAACTGCGAACGCGTGACGTAGTGCGTGTCCTTGCGAAAGCCATATCGATCATGGGCATCCTTGCCGGACAGTAACGGCGGAGGAACCACTCCGGGCAGTTCGACCACCTTAGACTCCCTCGGACTGGCTGACTGCGGACTGGCAGGCGCCGGTTCGGGGTCTTGCACTTGGAGATTTTGCACGGGTCCGGGTGTCGTCTCTTGTATGGGCCTATCTATCGCTACTCCAATCCCCTCCACCCCTGGCCTGTCATCCGGCTTCTCGTCCAGTCCTTCTTCCAACTTTTCGTCCAATTTCTCGACAGTCTGCTCGCTCTTCTCGTCCTTTTCTTCCTTCTCGTCCAACTGTTCATCTAATTTCTGGTCGACCTTCTGGTCCAGCTCCTCGTGAGAATTCTCCGGCGGGGCAGGTTTCTCGGGTAAAGGAGAAAATTCCTGCACCGTATCATACACCTGAGGCACCGCCTGGACCGTGTCAGAATCCTCCGGGACATCGATAATGTCGTCCAGATACAGGTCAATTGCATCCTCCACGCTCATCCCCCCATCCTGCTCGTAGCCCCCAACTGGCGTGTCTGGCGAGAGGTCGGTGATGGAGCTGCTTTTGGTCAAGACACTGCTGCGCTCCGTTCCGCTGTTCTGCTCGATGCTGGAGCAGGATGTCTTCCCGGACGTTTGACTGGACCGCAAGGGATCATTGTCCTGCAAATCCGATGCCACCTGGGGCGCAAATCGGGGCATCGCACGGCCACGGGGACCAGCGTCCATCGGATGATGCTCACCAGCATGGGGAGCCCGGTATTTGCTGCGTAGCGTCGACGTCGACATGGAAATGCGAAGGGGCGGTCTGCTATAGCTGGTGGTTGGCGTTGCGTATCCGGCTTGAACTGGGTCCTGGTTCCCCAACGGCCATTGCGGTGTATCCTCGACAGGCCCCGCGGGAAACGTGGGGGACCTCAATGGCGGTCTTGGGTACGGCATTCCGCCGTGGGGAGGGAGAGTGGCTGAAGCTGGTGGCATGAACGGCGGCCCATTTCGCCCCGGACCGCGAGGACCCGTGGGAGAGGGCTCAGCAGGTGGGAAGCGAGCAGAGGCGGCTTTGGCGTATGCAGTGGGAGTCGTGGGATGGGGTGCAGCAGTCGAGCTGTCCAGCCTGAGTCGAGGAGGAGGCGGTCTGCGTCTGTATGGTGGAGGAGGAGTAGAGGGATTCCCGTCATCGCCCGTGGGCGTGTAGCAGCGGGCGTCTCCATGTTGCGTGACCATCGCCACTCAATAATGTCCAGTCCTCGCTGTACATTTGTTGACGTCGTCGTTGCCCTCCCTCTGGCTCGCTGTGGACGTGTCTGTCTGTCTGGATTGTGTGCTTGCTTATCGGCGGAGGAGGCGGTAAACAACAGGGAATTGAACAAGATCCAGAGCAGGCCCTAGCATCCTCTGAGTGTGAGAACCAGCACACGGGATGTGAGGGCGTGCTGTGCCAGGTGAATGTCTGTCAGAGCAAGAAACAAAGAGCAAGACTGAAAGAGCGGGGGGGTGAAACGAAGGGAAGAGACAGCCACGGTCTCACACAGTAGCAATAAGAAAGAGGAGGAGTCTGCTGGGAGGGCAATTGAGCACTCGATGCCCAAGGACGCAAGCTGGGAGAGCAGCAGACAGGACAAGGAGGCAAAGTGTGATTTAGGACGTAGTTAGTTTCGTGCTGGTTGCACCAGCACCGGAAGCACGGCAGCGCAAACGGACAGGTCGATCGATTCCCGCGTCGGGAGAGCGACGCCGGCACTAGGCTCGCGGTGCGCCTCGCTAGCCCAGCAATCCTCCGTAATAGCGGCCGGCCGGATCGGCCTCCCAGAGTCGCGGAACTGCGCGTCGTGATGTGTCGAGTGAAGCAGGAAGCAGTAAAGTAAGCAGTAGCAATCGCTAGATCTTGGCCAGCGCAAAGATGCCGCCAGGGCCAATCAGACGCCGTGCCTGGCTGCAGCGTCCCCCAGGCCGATCGGGCAGACTCTCCAGCACTCCTGAGCTCTTGTCAATATCATTGGGGCCAGTGGCTCAGACGCCGACTGGGATACGGACGCAGTTCCATGGATCAGCTCTCCATGTGGCCAGTCTGGCTGCGGATGCGGGATAGAATCGCCGCCACCAGATCGAGGCTCCACTGCAATCGGGCCAGCGGCTGCGCAACAGCAGATAGAACTGGGCATGTTGAGCTGAGTCACTCGATACAATTTACGCCGTAAGCTGGAATTAATAGGTTGATAGGCAGCGAGGGGCGCGTAATATCGGCTCAGCACTCCCTAACAGTGTAACCGGTATAACCTCATCTCCCGCAGTCAGATGGCGGACTCGACCAGTCGAGACGAAGGATGACTTGAGTTCGAATCGCCGTACACCCGACAGCCAGCCTTCTGCACGGCGCACCATGCACCCGCCAGGTCAAAATTAGCAGTCATATGCAGATGCAAGCAAGGCAAATCCCCGTCCGTCCATTGGCAAGTCAGATCGATCGTGCTTCGAGGACTTTCGACGAGAAGACCCTTCAGGTGCGGTGTCACCTGGTTAGGAGCGGCTTGTCAAGAATTTCTGCAAGATAATGACGAGTAAGTATACTGTAGTGAAATTAGAGAACTAGCAGGTAAAAGCATGCGGTAATTAATGGACGGCCCGAATATATGATTTCACTTGGGGGGTAACCAAGACTTTCTGATATATTATTCTAGAGTGTAGGAAGGTCCTTTCTACAGATGTATTTAGCTCTAAACCTTGAATATTAAGATCTAGAATCCAGATAGAAAATAGACCTTAGGTACTAGCAAGGACCAAGACCGGAGTAAGAATGATATCAAAGTTCAGAAAGGGTTTATATATATACTGCTCAGGTACAAGTCGTCCTTCCAGCATTGCCACCTCCCACAAAACCCTAGCGCGGGAGAACTTCTCAGACCTGAATCAGATCTAAATGGGTAATTTTTTTTCCTTACACAGGAATTATCATCCTTATATATTCCGTTCAGATTGCAGAATCTTGGTATCGTATCTAATTCGAATAAAATAGTAACGAAAATACCGTATACCACCACTTTAAAGGCGCCCATCCTTGTAACCATCTATATGCATACGTCCAAACAGACCTCCCTATCTATAACCCAAGATCTATCCGTGGAATCATCTCCGTACCCGTCTAGCAGACCCCACTTGATACGTGTCTCTATGCTTTTCATTATTGAACCTCTTTGGCTTTGATTTCGTCCATCCTCTGATACATCACTGCGAGGTCGATTTTCATCGCCGTGACCGTGTCTTCCGGCGTCTCGTCTTCTGCGTCTGTCGAGGTCAGTCCCTCAATCTCCTTTTCCAGTCTCCGCGCCTCGTCCCGCAGTTCAAAGTACTGCTCGTATTCGTCCTCATCGAAACAAACGCCGTATCCCTCGCAGTAACAGAACGTCTCTTCGGGACAATACTCCGCCTGGCCCGTGAACAGGAACTGCCACAGATACTCCCAAACGCGTCCGGACAGACTGTCCTCCAGTTCCGTCCCCAGAAGCCAGTCTCGATAAGAGACATAGTGCTCTAGTGGGATGTTGCGAATCCGCTCGGCGCTGACTGCAAATTGCCCGCAGCATGGCTGCGACAGGACCGCTGGCACCGGCTCATCAGGGAACAACTGTCGCCACGAGCTGCCGATCACGGCCGCTTCGGGGATGTTGAGAAGATCGTCATCAACATTGTTGACGCCGTCACCAACCACGGGATGGATATGATCCGGACAGCCCGGTTGCTGGTGGCATCGCAGATTCATGTAGCCGCTGCGGACGACATGCTCGCTCCGGAGTCGCCGGACCATCAGGGCCGAATCCGAATCGAGGAAATCATTGTTATGCCACGTCGTCTGGTGGGCGTGCATGAACAGGGTGATGTCGCTCAGTGAAGAGTAGTGGTCGATGATGTAGGTGAGGTACGCCATCGCTTCGTGTCCCTTGTTCATCGGCACCGTCAGCTCGGCGCTGCTGTTGTCGACCGTATAGACGGCGCCATGCAGATGGGGGTCTTCATGGACAAGTCTGTCGACCCAGGACGTGTCATCATCCTGCAATTTGGCTACCACCAGTGTCCGAGTGTAGTTTCTCTCCGTCGACAAGATGACAGGTACTGGATCTGGCCTGCTGGGGTCGATCGTCGTCCAGTGCGCCGCCGTTTGGTAGTACCAGACGACCAGAAACAGCGTCGCCAGCACACATAATGATCCCCAGACCGTCTGCTGGCGGATATTGTCAGTTGCCAGCATAGTACATCTATCACTCACGGTTCAAGTTGAAAAAAAAAAAGCTCCTCTGCGAGCGTGTATTTAATAATCGACAGGTCAACCTCATTATGTATGTCCAGTACAGTACAGTACAGTGGGGGCCATCGGCAGTCATGAGCTGACGCTAGTTTTCGAACAATCACTTACTTTTTCTACCTTGTCGAAAAAGTGCATTGTTGGGTATAAAAATAGCCTCAGTTGATGACTCCCGATGGCCTCCACTGTATAGATTATGGCGTGCATATTACCGCTGGCGCATTAGTAACAAAGAGATTTTTGCTCGTTGATCTCCACAGTCGCCACAATTTCTTTGTTTAAGCCCATTGGGGTTCTGGCAGCGGAAAATTTCAACAATCCCAGGGAGAGCGATTTCATCCGTGGAGAGTTTACGGAGTATGTCCATACTCCATAGGTCGGCAAACTAAAATAGTCAGTCAGTCGCAGTCGATTGGCCTGGAACCATGTCTGTGGAATCTACAAACCTGGTGTCCTTGGCGCTGACAACAGTGGACGCCTAATCTGTCGTCCTAGCCATAGCCCAGAAAAAGACTCGAGGTGTGCATACCATTTACCTAGCTATTCTCACCGTTTTGCTTGATACCGTGGATGAAGCGAGAGGAAAACTGCATCTTTTGACATCCTTCTTGTGGTCGAGATTATAAAGGTGGGTTAGGTACATTACCTAGGCTAGGTTATGTAGTTGTTTCAGCTGTCACTCCTGTCTAGGATCTAGGGCTTAGGACAACAACCTCACCTTTCACATACGTGTACAATCCATCCCCTAGCCATAATAAAGTCGTCATTGTCAAATCACCCTCTTATCCTCGTATTCTTGGAAACTCGAAGCTATGTTCTTGAACCTCGCTCTGTTAGCTGTCAGCGTACCCGATTACGACATTTCCAGGTATAATGGGCTAAGGTATAATGGGCTAAGCAAGGAAGACCAGTTTCAATTAAAACGATCTCCTGCGAGCTATAGACAGTCCGCCAACACGTGTTGAATGCAGGGAACATGCCTGTCAGCACAAATCGCCGATGAATACGAGCTGAGCCAGTCCCTTGCGTCTAGTGGTGAAACCCGGCCGGATGACTGTTGCTGGAGCCTGGACCACGGATCAACCGTTTGGATCATCTGGATTCTGTCAATCAATTCGTTTGTTGTTCTCTTGTCTCGGCGATAGGAGGAAGAAAAGGATTCAGAAAGACAGCCCATAGCATCTTGAAGACCACAAAGTCAATACGAACTGCGTGAAGTAAGGGAGAGAGAAGGACCTCGTATTGCTGACATCAAGTCGTATTTCGAGCAAGATGTAGCTAAACAGACTCCTTCGATTCGTTAACTGTCCACCCGCTGCTCGTGTTTTGACCGTATCCTCCGGTAGATGTCTTCGGAATCTGGTCTTAATTCGCTGTTCGTTGGCCTCCACATGGCATTATGCACATCGCATACCACTCAACTATTTGACAGAAGACCGATGCGTGTGTACGTATTTATCTTAAATAAGGCTGTCTTCCTGTTAAAGATTGGGAATAGATAGCATCTTCATCAGTATCATCCGCCCCAAGTGAGCGTCAACCTGGACGTTATATCCTTCGGTTATCTTGAACAAACCAACTCACCATGCCTCAGTTAACCAAAATAGCTATTCTCCTCCTCACCGGCTGGTCCGTTGCTGCGCCCATCGCCACTGCGGAGGATACTGTCCACTTGTCTAAGCGTATTGATGAAGTGATGCCCGCTCCTGTCGAATGGGTCGATCCTGACGGGACTCCGGTGACGAGGAGAGATGGTGCTATACCTTCTGGTCACGTCGTAGAGCATGATGGCACTCGCGTCACCAAGAAGGATGGGATTTCTGCTGCTCGTGATGTTGAGCCTGACGGGACTCGGGTTACGAGAAGGGACCCGGAAGAAGGGGTCGACCCTGACGGCACTCGAGTCACGAGACGACGACCGGACGATGAAATCGAGCCCATGGGACAAGGGTTACCAGATGAGTTCGACGTGCATGAGGAAATATCGAGAGTGATTTGGCCAGTTACCGTTGCTTCGACACGTGAGTGTCAACATTTCCACATGAATATTCTGGAAAAGATAAAAGTTAACCACTAACTATGTTGATTGCAGCATATGATTGAAGACTGTCGATGGGAGGATAGGTTGAATTAGGAACTGTGTTCGTCTATTTTTGGCCTGAAGTAGAGGGTAACATGAAGTGTGCCTCCTGCAGGTAGCTTCCTGAGTGTAATGCCTGGTCAGAACGTTTTGTACTTCCATTACCACCGGAAGCGTTTCTCCCTTACAATAGTTCTTATCCAACGGTCAAAAAGAAGTGTAGACTCAGAACCGCAGTTTAAAAGAAAAAGGATATTAATGTCAATGGGCAATGTACTGGTGTATGTCCATCAAATGTAGCTACTGCTGCAAGACATAATGCTAAATCATCCGTCTATCGTCTATTATACAGTCTATATTCAGTTATAATACAGCAGCAGACTCATCGTTGATCATATACAGATTGTACCAAGTGATCTGCGGCAGAGATTGCCCCCTCCATATCACCTTTATGGTACAAGAACAACCCCTGCAGCGCGGCGGTACTGGTGCCCTTAGACCAATCAGCCTTGTGGCCATGTTCGTCCTCGATGAGTCCAAGCTTTTCAAGTCGATCAAGGAAGGCCTGCCTGTATGTCCCATTCTGGTCATACTCTCCGTAGAAGCGGTCCCACAAAGCAGCAGCCTGATATCTGGTTGCCTCGCCCAGCCGGACAGTCATGTCGACACGACCCGGCCGGACGAGCGCCTCATCCAGTCTCTCGACATGGTTTGTGGTCAGAAAGATGATCCGTTCCTCAGCACTGGCGACGCCGTCGAGCGCATTCAACAGGCCCGAGAATGTCACGTTGGCACCACGGTATCCGTCCTCATCCGTCTGAACCCTGCGGTTCGAGAAGGCGGCATCGACATCTTCCAAGAGAACGATAGTCCGGTTGGGAATGATCGTCAAAAGATGATTTAGCCGGTCATCCGTCAGCCCACGCTCGCTCAGATTCAAAATCGCAATATCATAGTCGAGCTCCCCCGCTAGGGCTTGGATGAACGAGCTCTTGCCGGTCCCCGGGGGTCCATAAAGCAAATAACCACGCCGGTAAGGAATCCCACGGTCGTAATACCACTTGCTGCTTGCAAGGAAGTCTTTAACGTCCTCGACAATCCGTTCTTTGACTCCTTTGTCCAGGATCACGGAATCCAGCGGGCGTTTTCGCCGCGGGTGCCCAAACTGTCGCCACTCCGTCCCCCAACTGTTGTAGATGGCCGTCTTCCCCTCATGCGACTTAGCTGCAATGGCATGCGCCTCTGTGAACAGGTCCTCGAAGATGTGGCGATGAGCATATAGAGTGGTCAGCGTTACTGTCTCCCACGGGCGGCCTGTCTGATGATCCCGTGATTTGGACTCGCGGACTCTGTTGACTAGAATGAAGGCGTTCTTGTAGCGTAAAATATGTTTTCCCGGTCCCGGAATGAGGGTAAAATGTGTGTGTATGGCGCCGTTGGAATGCTCGATTTTCTGCGTCTGAATCGAGAGATGTCGCATCCCGGGCGTCAATTTCTGGAGGAGAAACTCCATAAACCCTCCTTTGTTAGCACCATTAGCAGCTGAGCGAGCGCCGTTCAGCTGCGACTGCTGGTAAAGGGTCATCCAGTGCAAGAACCACGGGTATGAATCATCCTTGATGTTGATCTCGACGTCAACCAACAGGCGCCTGCGGAGGAGAGCTGCACCGTGCCGTAGACCTTTTTGAGCGAGGCTCAGAGCTGCTCCTAGACCAGCTAAACCAAATCCCTAAAGCAAGCAAGCGCTATCAGTTTCCTGTCATAACTTTGGAAAAAAAAGCATATCCATACCGCAGTGAAAAAAGGGTTGTTAGACAGCTGCGAAAAGATCCCCCCATCTCCGCTGGGTTGCGGCAGCGCCTGCACCGCATCTTTCTTCTGCTGGAGAATCAGATCAGCAGGAGACGGGGTCCCCGGAGCTTTGGCTGGTCCATCTGCTTCCATGCCAGGAGAATCGCGGGATATCACATCCTCTGTCAGCTCCAGACAAGACGCATGCGCCTTCAGCAATCATTTCTGCGCGTTATCAGATGCCGGAGTTACTCTCGGGCCGAGAAAGCTCCGTCGCACGTGATATCTGTCGTCTGATCCAAGGGAGATTGTTTTTATCTATTTCCTAGGTACAGTTTGTTATTTCCGTGGTTCTAGACTACCCAGAGAGCTGGGAACCAGTTCTCAGCCAATTCCCTGGAGTTGTCTCTTGTTAGTATTAGATACTCTGTAGATCGATCGGACGAATTCATGCGCTGACGGCCTAACTGTACGGAATGCCGGGGTCTCCACAGACCGATTGGCCCGACTCGGGTCTTCATCGTTAACTCCGACCGCCATACGGAGTACGGCCGTTCCTGCAACCAAGGGGGCTTGGCCAAGTAATAAGATTAGCATGGATGATGTTGCAGGTTTAAATAGAACACGCCATATTATTGTAGCCTGGTTTTACGCTGGTAGCACGAGGAATAAGTGGCTTGGTCAACGCGTTCGAGGCGTGTTTGCCTGGTGAGCAGCGTAGTTTCCCTCCGCGAAATTGCACGAAGCCAGCTTCCATAAAGACATCCCCGCTCATTGACACCCCGCAGATGCGGACATTTATTCGGCGTCTTCTTTGCTTTAGACACAAGGTCGGCGCCGGGTCGCGCTCATATCTATCGCTTTTACACGCCGCAATATGAGTTCCTCAGCGGCTGCTGTGCTCTACACAGTCACCATCTCGGTATCTCCAGCTTCCGCTGTTCCCGATGATGCGTCCAAGAAGAGCCATCATCTCAAGGATGGGTTCACGAATCCTTGGGAGTCTTGGGAGTGAGTATAGTGTTGTTATTCTCAGCGCATTTACAGACCGTGCTGATGCGGCTTGACCAGTGAGTTCAAAGGGATGAAACCTTGGGAAATTGCTAAGGTCTTACTCCAGTAAGTATCCCAATGACATCTCTCGTCGAAGATGACTGATCTAAGATCTATCTTCCAGGCGGCGGATATCTGGACAAAGCAATATCCCCGATACGACGCCCCCCACGGTTCCTGTGCAGAAACCTGAATTCCTCCCCACTCGCGAAACGCCGAATCTGAGAGCCACATGGCTGGGGCATGCTTGTTACTATGTCGAGTTCCCAGGCGGTCTTCGGGTGCTTTTTGACCCCGTGTTTGAAGATCGCTGCTCCCCGTTTTCATGGCTGGGTCCGAAACGGTATACAGAGGTACCTTGCCAGATCAGTGACATTCCCATTATTGATGCTGTTGTCATTTCGCACAACCACTACGATCATCTTTCCTACCCAACCGTGAAGGGGATTGCGAAGAGACATCCGAATTGTCACTTCTTCGTCCCATTGGGCAATAAGCAGTGGTTCCATGACTCTGGCATTAAGAATGTAACGGAATTGGACTGGTGGGATCAGCGCGATATCACACTGTCGCCTTCCCAAAACCAACCGACAGAGGGCAAATCTGCCTCTCAAACGGGCGATATTACTGCTCGAATCAGCTGCCTACCCTGCCAGCATGCGTCTGCCAGGGGTATCTTTGACAGGCAGAAGACTCTGTGGTCATCGTGGGGGGTGGAATCTGGCGGCCGCAAAGTCTTCTTCGCTGGGTATGTTTGAACATTTTGATGTCGAGGAAAGAAGACACTATGATTTGCTAATGCGACATCTCGAAACTTTCAGAGACACTGGCTACAGGTCTGTACCTCTGCTTCCCGACGGCACTGATGACTACGGCCCTGAACATAACTATCCGAGATGTCCTGCATTCAAACAAGTTGGGGAGTACAGAGGCCCCTTTGATCTTGGGTTGATTCCCATCGGCGCCTACGCTCCGCGATTCATCATGAGCTGTGTTCACGCGGACCCACATGATGCTGTGCATATTTTCCAAGACACCCAATGCAAGAGAGCACTTGGGATGCACTGGGGAACGTGGGTGCTTACTGAGGAAGATGTCCTAGAGCCTCCCGAGAAGCTCAGGCAAGCTCTGAAACGTAATGGTCTTCCAGAGACTGGCGTCTTCGACGTATGTAATATTGGTGAGAGTCGGGAATTCTAATTGGTACGAAGAAGCTTGGAGACGGTCGATGGACACTGGAAGGGCGTACCACCTACGGTGTGTTCCTGGTTTTGTATAATAGTTCTCACGCCACTCGAGGTCTTTGGCGAGTTGTTTGGTCGGGGATACCTCATTCTCTCTCCTGTCATTATCATTATAATTGTCATTAATACTATTGATATTGAATCGAACGATCTCAATCTGAAGCGTGTCTGCCAGGCAGACAAGCTGGCTGCCATCTTTCGTACGTCAATATCATACTATGACATCCAACTATTATATCACATTCATTCAGTGGTCATCCAGATTCTCAGTACCTACATTCGACTGGAAGGGGATCATTAAGCAAAGGCGACAAAAAAAAGAAGGGGAGATATGATGCGGCTGCCTTCCATTGCCTCCATCTGGTTTGACCGGACCGTAGCCAGACCTACATCCATGACAGGGGTGGAATTTTCAGGGCACTGGGAGACATAAACGGACCCCTTCGAACCACTAGACCACAGACCCTATGGCAGTTACCTGACGCCCCCTCATACTGACATTAAGCCCCCTCAGGGCTTGCCCAAGATTCCCAGTTCGACTCTCGCCCTGCCAGATAAACCAGGCCTTCTTTTTTTTTTTTCCCACACGAGGAGCAGCGATGAACCAAATATTAGAGTCCCAGCAGTTTCAGGACTTTTTACTTTGCCATACACGAAAAAATGTAAACAAAGAAAGGCAGAATCAGGGCTTTAGGGCCTACAACTAAACAAGGGAAGTACCACTCGACGGTTATCAACACTCATGTAGGATTTCAATAACGATAGTAATCTTGATATATGTGCACATGCATTTAGAATGGGCCATGTTGGACAAAATAAGAAAGGATCCAACAGTCCTCCTAGTTCAGAACCCTTGTAATTACCATGAGGGTATACATGGGTATGAAATGAGATGTAGGTGTAGCAATGAGTAGATATCGTATCCATAGAGATGTTGAAACAACCTCACCTGTGTTGATATAACCATCAGCGGTGATGTCAACAAAGACCAGACAAGACGCGTCTGCCTACCTGTCTGCAGCAAATAACTAAACCATCCATGTATGACATCTGGTGACACGATCCAGGTTCATGAAAAGCTTAACCCACACGACACAACAATACCTACCTACCCTACACATAACAACCAGTTCCAGGAACGCGTCCAAGACAGTCTTTTTTCTCTCATCCCAGCTACCTCTTTGAAGGAAGATTGTTTGTTACCGCTCCCTGCTGCCCACAATCTCCTGCAAATTGCAAAGCTGGGGTTCTCTTTGTACCCTTTTTGGTGCCTTACCTGGATCGGATCCGGACGATTATTTACTGCAGATCTCGTTGTCTCTTTCTCGACCCAAAAATGCTGACCTGATCCCTTGATCTGACCAACGTCTTCTCGTTACAGAAATACTATTCTTACGATCGTCATCACTAACTTCCTATTTACGGGCTAAAATTCCAGAGAGGGAAATTTCCCCCATCTCATATGGGCGAAAATGGCACCCCCAAGTTACAACTTCACCCCGCGCTCCTCAAACTTCATTGAGTCCTTCACATTACCGACGAGTTCAGATCCAAGTCTAGGGGCAGAATTGACTGCTACCAAGCCTCGTCGTGTTTCTTGGAATGGCCAGGGCTACGATCCCGACACCGAGTCCGAGTCAGAAGAGACGGACACATCAGACGAATGCGAAGAAGACGAAGAGGAAGTCATCTTTGCTCTTGACGAGAGTGCCATGGCTGAGCTTCCATTGCGTCTCCAGAAGATCATGCGGGAAATCCAGACTGAGCGATTCATTCGGCTGACAAGGGAAAACCCAAACATTAAGATTCGGACAGCTAGCTTCTACGATAGTCATCCGCACGAAGAAAATTCAGCTTCGATGCCACCGTGGTTAGCAGCGCCACCAGATTTCGAACATGCCACGAACTCCCGGCATTTCCAGCTGGACTATCCAGCATTGCCCGACCCTGCCTTTTCCCGCAGCCTCAATGCCAACGTCAGAACCAAACAGCCGTGGATGGCAACCCCAGCTTGTCAAGCCAATGCATTCGGAAGACCTCGAGCTGTTTCAGCTGCGGGGCACTCGCATCTGAATCGCGGCGCTCAAACAATGCCTCTGCCTCAGAAGGACCGATCGGCCAGCAGACGTCGTCAATCTCTCAAACGTGCCAATTTAGAAAATAAGAAGAACGGTGGATATTCTCGATTCAGCTCGCTGTCCCTGAAACCTGTGGCCACAAATGTTCGTGCACGCGTCAAGAAAAGTTTCCAGAGACTGAACAGACTGATCAAAAGGTGATGAGAGCGAAAGGAAGGACAAGCGAAGCATTTTCAACAGCCTCGACTACATCTCAACTTGCAATACAGGGCATTGTCAGGCATGGAACCCATGTACATCTCGACGAGGGGCCTTTATCATAGTGGGGGTTGAGGGTGTTCGACATGTAATTAGAATCCTGGATGATTTTATGCCTTGTGTAGATTAGACTTTGACGAGAAACAAACAAGTTGCTTTGTGTATCTCCAGGGCAATGAATGCAGGAATAAAATATTCGATCGCTGCTGTCATGTTGATTCTAGTTCTAGAATTGTGTCCAGCATGGATGCTTCTGGGGTTGGCGCTAGTGTGAAAACAGTTTAGCGGCAGCAAGCATGCGGGAGGCCTAGCAATCCCACTTCACGGGAAAATTGATAGCAAAGACCGCGCCCACGCCGCCGAGCACCACGTTCTGCCAGTCGTGGGAGCACTGCGTCGCTCATCGCTCTGTCATCCTTGAAGCTGAACTCGATTTTCTCTAGTTTCTGCTTCCTGCTCCTTCTTGCTTAGTGGCTGAGAGACACCCCCGCCGTCAACATGCAGGCACCGGTGGTGGTTATGAGTATGCCTTCCCCTCCAGACCGTCTCTTCGAGCTGGAACCTGGCGGACTCGTTGCTAACGTGGTCCTAGACACCCAGAATGGGGACCGGCAGGTCGGTCGGAGAGCTCAGCTGTCGAACATTACTGCTGCCAAGACGTATGCGAGATCCTGGACCTTCCAAAGCCCTTTTCGTCCTCGTTTCTAACGGAAGCCCCTCAGCGTTGCGGACATTATTCGATCATGCCTGGGCCCCAAAGCGATGTTGAAGATGTTGCTAGACCCTATGGGTGGTATCGTCCTGACCAACGATGGACACGCAATCCTCAGAGAGATCGAAGTCGCCCACCCCGCAGCAAAGAGTATGATCGAGCTTAGCCGAACACAGGACGAAGAGGTGGGAGATGGAACTACGACGGTCATTATTCTGGGTACGCTTTAATTTGTTGCTCTGGATTTATACGGCTTATCTGACTCGATCTAGCTGGTGAGATCCTGGCCCAGGCTCTTCCTCACCTCGAGCGGAACATCCACCCGGTCACCATCATCTCCGCCTTCAAACGTGCACTCACAGATGCGCTCGCGATTGTCGAGGAGATATCAATTCCAGTAGACGTCGACAACGACAAGGCCATGTACAAGCTCATCCAGTCGTCTATTGGAACCAAGTTCGTCTCAAGATGGTCGGAGCTTATGTGCAGTCTTGCCTTGAAGGCCGTTAGAACAGTTTCTTTCGATGTTGGTGGTGGAAAGCGGGAAGTGGACATAAAACGATACGCCCGTGTTGAGAAGATCCCCGGCGGTGAAATCGAGAACAGTGAGGTGATCGACGGCGTGATGATCAACAAGGATATCACGCACCCGAAGATGCGCCGGAGGATAGAGAACCCAAGAATTATCCTTCTCGATTGCCCGCTGGAGTACAAGAAGGGAGAGTCGCAGACGAACATCGAGGTGACCCAAGAGGACCACTGGAACCGGATACTCCAGATTGAGGAGGAGGAGGTGAAACGCATGTGCGACGCAATCTTGGCCTTCAAGCCCGACGTTGTCATTACGGAGAAGGGTGTTTCCGGTAAGTTTGCTGCATAGTATGGTCAAATTCAGATGTTAACTCACCGGTCTCCCAGATCTCGCTCAGCACTTCCTGGTCAAGAACAACGTCACTGCTATTCGCCGCGTGAGAAAGACGGACAACAACCGAATTGCCCGCGCCACCGGCGCAACTATCGTGAACCGTGTGGAAGATCTCCAGGAGTCTGATGTTGGCACCAGGTGCGGACTGTTTGAAATCGAGAAGATCGGCGACGAGTACTTCACTTTCCTCCGGAAGTGCAAGGAGCCCAAGGCGTGCACCATCCTGTTGAGAGGACCGTCCAAGGATATCCTGAACGAGATCGAGCGGAATCTTCAAGACGCCATGTCTGTGGCCAGGAACGTTATCTTCCATCCTCGCCTGTCTCCCGGGGGTGGTGCAACGGAGATGGCTGTTGCTGTCAAGCTCTCTCAATTGGCGAAGTCTGTCGAAGGTGTTCAGCAGTGGCCGTACAAGGCCGTGGCTGATGCCATGGAGGTCATCCCGAGAACTCTCGTGCAGAATTCCGGAGACAGCCCTATTCGCGTCCTGACTCGTTTGCGAGCCAAGCATGTCGAGGGTCATACCTCCTGGGGTATCAACGGTGACACTGGAGCCATCGTTGACATGAAGGAGTACGGGATCTGGGAACCCGAAGCCGTTAAGCTGCAGAGTATCAAGACGGCCATTGAGGTAAGACTTCAATGATCCCCCCAGTAATACTTGTATTCTGGATGCTGACAATTTTCCCCATAGGCTGCTTGCCTCCTCCTTCGAGTCGACGATATCTGCAGTGCCAAGTCTGCTCAACAATCTGGTGCCAATGTGGGTGGCGGTGAAGATTAATTCTAAAAAAGAAGAGTTATAAAATAAAATAAGATAATTAGAGGCATGCATTAATGTTACACGATTCGCATTCTCGGATTGTACGAATATTCTACATTAAAAGTACACTGGGTATCTTGATGATGAGTCCAATCTAGAGACAGTAAAAAGACTACAACACAATCAGCAATTTGCGCAACCTGAGCGAACGGAGCTTCCTTGGTTCCATCGTAACTCTGTCAATCTTCTTCGTGAATTATGACTCCCGGCTCTTCGTGAACCTGCTGATCCTCAGGGACGTTTTCCACGGCCAAGTGCCTGTTGTCATCCTTACGCTGCTCAGCAAGTCCTGGCCTCGCGGGCTTCTTCGCGTCGGTTTCATTCTCGTTATCGATCTTCATCTCGTCATCCACCGCACCGTTGTTATTTCCCGCAGCGGCCTTCCTGTTCTTTGCGGCCCTCCTTTTCTCCCGCTTCCTCCGATTCTTCTCGGTTTTCTCTTCGTCCTTGCGCTTGGCCTCTGCTCGCCGTTGCTCGAATTCCTTGTCCGCCTTCTCCCGCTGGACCTCCTCCTCCATGAGCCTCAAGCGCTCATATTCTCGCCGGCGACTGGCCTTGTAGACGTGGAACTCGCCCGATCCGGCACCGGCCGACGAACCTTGGACATTCGTGACAATCTCCGGCGGAGGCGGGAGGTCGGCTGCGGTTTTGGGTTTCGACGGTTCCGGGATGCGGATTTCCTTCGTAGGGTCTTTGAAGAGGTTCTCGATCTGCGTTGCTTGCTCGGACACGGGCGTGAGGGCGCGGCGTTTGAGCGGTCGCTTGCTGCGCGGATCAGCGCTGGTGGGGATCGATTCCGGGATTGGTTCAGACATGTCGAAAGGCTAGAATGTAGTTATTTTGCAGACAGGTGTATAGATCTCTGTATCTGTCAAGCAAAGCGCGGCCGTTTGATCGATCGGGCTCACCAGCGACGGTGGAGCAGTCGTCGCAGCGCCAGTCAGACTGACGTATTGCAGCCGCTCGGAGAATGGCGAAACTGGGAGCGTAGCGCAGTCAGATGGCTCGCACAAGGGGTTCTCCCAGTGGCGAACGGAGTAAGATTCAAGCCAGTACCAAGAAAAGAGCAATCTCTAATCTCTGAGGCTGAAAAGCGGCCTGGATAAAAAACGCGAAGAATCCCAGCGGGATGTGATTGGGACGCAGCCCTCCGATACCCGTTCTGGAACGCTCGTCTGTCCCCACCCTGCTGCGATGGAGGACCTGCTTTGTTGCCGCCCTGCAGACACGTCTTGATTATTTTGCGCAATTGTACCAGTGATTTCTTATTTATGTCCGGCACTGTCCGCTCTTGCGTTCTGCGCGTCTGTCGAATGCCTATGTGACAGATCGCGGGCTGTGCAGCGTCGGAGGCCCGATATACTATGTCGCACCGGGACTCCGCGGCGAGGCATCTTCGACGTCTTCTAGGCCGGCTCACGCAACACAACCGAGTTTTACGCAACTTCTCTCCTTGATACCCTTTCCCCTTCATGTTCCCTCGCTATCCACCCGCAACCGGCTCCTGACAGTCGCGCTGGATCCAAGGACTCCTGCTTTGACTCTTGTCTACCCCGCGCCCATCGAGCAGGATGGCGTCTGCCGGCGTGAGGTCTTCCGACACCACGGCTCAACCCGACAGCCAGCAGAGGAAGGTTGGTGCAGGCCAACGCCGCAACCTGAGTGACGATGCCAGCTAACCGTGATGTCTTCGCCAGTTCTATCCCGATGATATCTGCACCCTCAAGGCCGACCCTTCGATGGTGGGAATAGTGGATGTAAGTCCTGGTGGAGGCTAGGAGGGGTATATCCGAAGCGCGCTCTGACGTTTCATAGAGGACATTCTACGATGTATGCTCCACGAATATGTGCCTCCAGGATCGCCGCACAGCATTGACGCTTGTTCAAGGTCGAAACTCACGAGCCCCTCGAAGATAGCCTCATCGTGTCGCATGTTCCCGTCCCCGAAAGGGAACTGATGGAGTTTCTGAATTCCGGAGTGGTGCGTGACCGGTTGCCCTATGGGGATAATTCGCTGTCGTCTACTCACCTCGTTGCTAGCCCCCGAAAGGATACGTCTTCGTTGCTTGGAGCGAAACCTCCCAGGGCAGTTCCCTGGTCAGTGAGGATGACATTGAGCTCGTCGACCGGTCGCTGGAAATCGGCTACCTGGTAAAAAGGCATCCGAAGGATACGCTCAGCGGCACGGTCATCAGCACCTCTTGCAAATACACTCTCCAGCCCGTGGCTTACAGAGTCGTCGATCCCCTAACGGGGGAGCGCGGCCCGTTGCGATTCACGACGAAACCTCCCAAGTCCTCCCAGTCTGAAAATCAGCAGCCAGGAAATGATCACGACGGGCCAGCATTGTTGACAGATGTTCCCGCAGAAGAGCTGCGGGATTACGATGATTTCTGCGAAGGAGACTATATAATATACCGCCAGAAACTGGGCATCATCCAGCAAGTTGATCGCGATGCAGTACTAATGTTGCCTAACAACACCGCCGTGACTCCGCTAAACCCTTATGCCCTCGAGCTGCCACTGTCTCTCGGCTCCAAAACCATAGTATCTTTGCCGAACAGTAATTCTAATGAGTCCTCGCGATCGGTACCATCAGGCTCTGGCCGTTCCGATCTGTCAGTGCCCAACGACACAATGTTCCCAGGACAGTATGTCCGCACCACGCTGAAGAATCTTAGGAGAGGATCCTGGATTTCGGGCAATCCGTCGGTGGACACCCCGGCAGAGGGGTATATCGTAGCCACGCCGCCAGTTGATGTGCATGTGGATTGGTTATGCTCGAATATCTTTAGTGTGGGACTTCCTTTCTTCGGCCCAACAAGTGAAGTGATCCGAGCATCGACGCTACAGGGCCATGCAACAACCTACGATTCCGGAAAGATCCCCAAGGGCAACTCACAACAGCAACAGGTCAAGATGCGTTCTTCTTTCACCGTTGGGGACCGAGTCCGTTTCCGAGATCCGGCAGGTGCAGCCGTTAAATATCCTCAATTTGACCGGATCCCTAAAGAGCAGACTTTTGGTTATGATCTCAACGTCTTCAAAATTGTGTCTGTCAAGTCGGAGGTCACGGTACTATGGCAGGATCTTAGTGTCACTACCGAGTCCTCGACTTCGCTGCACAAGTTTTCAGGCCTTGAGAACGAGGTCTGGCCGGGCGAGCTGGTCATGCTAAAGGAAGAAATTCAGACGATACCCAATCCGAACCGCACTGCCTTTGAGCCACTTGCCTATACCTTTCATCCAGGGCGAAACGATTCCATTCTCCGCCCGAAGAAAGTCGGAGTCGTCCAGACAGTCAATAGTCGAGAACGGATCGCCTCCGTTCGTTGGTACAAGAATCCTCGCATTGAACTGCTTCACGAAGGACATGTTCTGAGCCCATCTTCCGTGCTGGGAGAGCTAGGCGATGAGATCACCGAGGTGTCCATGTACGAGCTTACGACTCATCCCGGCTTGGTGAAATCGAGAGGTGAAATGGTTTTATTGGTCCCGGAGAGAGTCCACCAGTCCCTCATCCCTTCGAGCTCGACACGTCCCTCCTCGACTGCCGCCGGTCCTTGTCTCCTAAGTTACCTGTTCCCTGTCACTTTCACTCAGACGAATGTGTATCTCGACCATATCAAAAGCGTCCTGGTGCAGTCAGATTGGTTTAAGCGTTCTGTCGGGATTGATACCACACCGTTGCCGCCGCGCCATAGTGTGCGTCGAGAAGATTTCAGCCTTAACCATCCTCTGGACTGGATCGGGCACATCATTTCATTGGATGTCGATGGCACCATCACCGTCCGGCTGGGAGCACTCCAGGAGTGTCGTGATGTTCGTGTTCCCCTCGAGAAGATATTGATGGTGCTCGACGATGATGTTGCTGCTGGTAGCGGCGAAGGACCAGTGGACGACATGGATGAGTACTACGACGAGTGGGACCAAGTTGATGATGACGACGATTACCATTTCTTTGACCGAGTAGCGACGGTGCTTTCTCGTACAGTAGAGTATGAGGGTGGTGCGCCGCTGGACGCGGCTAACGATGATGATGATATGTGGATGACTGAAGAAGAGGATGATGAGGAAGTCGGAACGACCGGTGCCCCTGCCGTATCAGAAATTGAGCTGCCAGAACATTCAGATTCGAGAGACGAGAAAGAAGGTGATCGTGCACTTCCGGAGTCTGCCGGTAAGGATGGCGATAAGGGTCACAAGGAAGCGCCTCCAGCGCTCCGTGGGGATCGGGTAAATTCAAGTCCTCCAAGTTTTGCGATTCTGGAGTCACCACCCCCTTCGGATCATCACTTCATCAGCACTTCGCCGACGGGAGGCGCCGCACAGCGACTTCGACGGATAAGAAAGGAATATCAGATTCTCGAATCGTCGTTGCCGCAAGGCATCTTTGCACGGACGTGGGAATCCCGGATGGACCTCTTGCGGGTCGTGATTATCGGTCCTCAAGGGACCCCTTACGAATATGCTCCTTTCGTCATCGATCTCCATTTCAACAGCAACTTCCCGAATAACCCTCCAGACACGTTCTTTCATTCGTGGACCAACGGCATGGGGCGGATCAACCCGAACATGTATGAGGACGGGAAAATCTGCCTGAGCATCCTCGGAACGTGGCCACCGAAAAACCCTGACGAAAACTGGTCCCCGACTAAGTCGACTGTGCTGCAAATTTTGGTTTCCATTATGGGTCTGGTGTTGGTGAAGGACCCGTTTTACAGTAAGTTGAATCTTGAACAAATGCTGGTGAGAGTGGTCTGCTAAGACATGCCTTAGATGAAGCCGGTTTTGAAGCGTTTGCGTCCGAAGGCGACAGCCGAGTCGAGTCGACGCAGTATACAGAAAAGGCATTTGTCATGACTAGAACTTTTATCAAGCGCGCTCTTGAAAACCCCGTCCTCGATTTTGAGGATATCCTCGCATGGCACTATCTTCCGGGGCCTGTCGCTGAGGGAGAGTCTGCGCGCCCGGAGCTGCTAAAGAAGGCGATCACGGAAGCCCGTCGCATGATTGACCACTACAATTCCACGTTTGAAAAGGGCCCTGGGGAGCAGATAGGTCCAGCATCACCGTTTGTCGCCCGTCTCAGTTTGGGGGCTGTGGTGATGCTTCGAAAACATATCAGCGCGCTTGAAAAGATTCTTTCAGCAGCCGAGGACAGCATCCGGTCTTAGGGGGAATGAGAGAAGGGTATTTTACTTGGAATGATGACTGTGCAGATGGTACATCCTACTGTGATGGGACATTGTCAGTGCAGATGTCAGTGTTTTCTGGATTAGCACGATGTCTTCTTCTGTGCAGATAGATTCATTATTAATTTGGAAGTCTAATGAACAATTCTTTCTATAAGCAGAAAATAACGAAGTGAGAGAAAGAAATATCAAACTGGTTGTAGATAAGCATTGTAGTCTATCAAAACCATGTTGGTCACAGAATTTGGCGGAGCTAAGGAGTAGTAAGTGTGTTGTTTTTGCGAATCTGCAGTGAAATCCGTCTAGACGCGCACACAAAAAAGAAGCCCATTAAATCCTGCTTGTTCCCACTGGTCCTTTTTTTATCCTTCTCTCTTTCGCAGTTATTCATCATAAGTGATTGCTAGGCACGTGTTTTGGCAGCTAGCCTTTGTTTCGGGGCGGGCAAACAACCCCCTGCGCACCGCCCACCGCATAGCGGCCCCTGCTGGGAACCCTACCCTGTCTGTCAGTCCCCTTTGTTGCACCACCGTTGGAACCTAACTAACTGAACTGCTGTACTGTATGGCGGTTTCTCATCTCACTTTTCCAATCCAATCCCTGCTCGATAAGAAACTAAAAAGTTTTTTCTAGTCTCTTGTGATGATCGCCATCTGAGGAATTTTTTTTCCCTTCGTTCTGAAAATTCTGCTTTTTCTCTCAACAACTGCAGTCATCTATCCTTCTTACTGTCTTAAGAGTCTCATCTAATATCGGTCACGATCTAACGCGTCATGCCCACTTATCGCTTGGGTAAGTCTGTCACTGAATACTAACTGTTAATGCATAGTTAATCTTGTTCATCTCGTTTCTGCGATTAATATTATCTGGTCTGATGGAGTGGATGATAATACTTTTTTCTTTTCTTCTTCATTGTCTTGTTGTCTGTTTCTTTTTTACCTTCTTCAGTTTGCATATTTTAGTTGACCTTTTTTTTTCTTTTTGTCACTCTTTGTGTCTATGAAAAAAAAATCATTGTTCATTTTATCTCACTAAACCGATCGTCCAACAGAGATTGCTTCCAGCAGCCGTGCTGGCTGTCAGAACAAGGAATGCAAAGACGCAAAGATCAAGATCCAGAAGGGCGAGCTTCGTCATGGCACTTGGGTCGATACTGAACGATTCCAGAACTGGTTCTGGCGTCACTGGTGAGCACCCCGCCCATATGACAGATGCATGCTGTGAAGAATTACAGAACTGACTGTTTTGTCAAGGGGATGTGTGACTCCCAGGATCATTGCAAACATTAATGAGACTCTGGGCGAAGACAAGGATTACAGCCTCCTGGATGGCTTCGATGAGCTGCCTGAGGAAGAAAAGGCCAAAGTCCGCAGGGCTCTGGAGCAAGGCCATGTTGATGATACTGATTGGCGCGGTGTAAGCAGGAAGCAGCCAGTCTGTCCTCTTGTCTGCATAAGCTGATGTATGTCAACAGGACATCGAACTGAATCGCCCTGGCAAGACTGGGTTCCGTCTGAAGGGTTCGAAGAAGGAGGCCACGGAGGTCAGAGCTCTCTTTGTATTTCATCGACATCTATCGCCAGTTCTAACATGTATGTGTGTCTACAGGACGCAGCGGATGAAGCAGAGGAGGAAAAGACAAAGGCCAAGAAGCGCAGCCGCGGCGAAGACGACGGCGAGGAGTCTGAGGACGTCCCCGCCAAGAAGGCCAAAAAGGAGAAGGCTGCTGCAGCTAAGGACGACACTTCTTCTGAGGCGAAGCCTGCCAAGCGCGGCCGACCTCGCAAGAATCCTGAAGCAGCTGTGGCCAAAGCCGAGAAGGAGACGGAAGATGCGCCCAAGAAGGCCGGCAGGGGTAGAAAGAAGAAGGTCGTCGAAGGCGAGAACGGCGACGCCACTGCTGAGGCTAATGGAGCTGACGATGCGGAGTCCAAGCCTGCCAAACGGGGTCGCAAGCCTGCTGCCAGCAAAGAGCAGGGTGAAACTGAGGCCGCTCCAGAGAAGCGCAAGCGTGGTCGTCCGAAGAAGCAGACTACTACTTCGGATGAATAGAGGTGGCGCATGTCATCCTTATTAACTGGCCGTTCTTACAGACAGTGATCCAACTCTGGTTTTTCTCTGATTGATCCCATCTACATACCTGGCCTGACATACCACGAGTCTTATCTACAGGAAATCGCAACATGCATTCTCAGATGGATATCATCAGAGGTTACAAAACCAGATGGGCAGGTCATGCAAACACTGTCTCACAATTTTCCATTCACCATTCACATTCCTGTCCTCTTTTTTTTTCTCTTTATCAAAGCATTAAAACAGCATGCATGCATGCAGCCTTTTTTTTCTTTTCATGGTAATACCTCTGGGTTATGAATGGTTTTTTTTTCTTCTTTTCTTTTATGTCTTTTTCTTTTTCTCTTTTATTCTCCACAATGAATTCTGACTCCAATACCAATGGCAATGGCCAATGGAAATGGAATGGTGATGGGTGGGATGGAATGGGATTCACTGCACTGCTGTCATCATACCACATCATATTGTATCTTTATCATTATCATATCCCCCTTTGCTTTTCTCTTCTAATTTTTAATCCCAAAATACAATCAAAAAAATTTTTTTTCTCCTCTTAGGGCAGTTACGGCGTTTTCTTTCCCTGATGTTGTTGTGGAAATTAGTTAATTAGTTAGTAATTAATTAACAAAAAAAATGCAATATTATTACAGTCATTAGTCATGAAAAGAAGCACTAGATTTATATGGATATCATGATATGTGTGTGTGCACAAGCCTAAGATTGGTCGAATCACCTAGCATTAACAACAGACTGGTTGTGATGGCTTATAATTAGAGGAGGTCAGATGGATTTTTTTTCGTAACGGTAGTTTTTACTTATTCGTGTTCACCGCGTATAGATATAGAAGAATAGATAGAAACTAGATGTAATTCAACACAATCGATTGATCACTGATGCTGGCACTGGCTACCTTCAAATATGTGGACATAGATATAACTATAAATACATGTGTAAAAATTAAATCCCATATCTCTAAGGAAAGTCATTTCTAAATGAAAACAAGCATAGCATGCTAAATACATACCAAAGTCCGTCAATGAGGTATCTACTTCGTATACTAGGCAAGGCGCATCCACTGGTCGGGTACAACAAAATACGAGGCAAGACGGAAACATGCAAGGCTGAGTCCGCACCAAACAAATTTTAAAATATTTCCCTGAATTCGATCTCTTTACTTAATTTTTTTTAAGCAAAAAACTCCTTCGAAAGATCGACTTACACGGAAGTGATGTGATCACGTGGAGATAAAAGATAGCCGTTGCCATGACAACGCAACCCCTTGCCCGATTGGGAATCTCTCTCGCAACACCCAACCGACAAAGATGCAAGTTACTGCAAGTTACAACCACTGACTGCAGGTGGATTTCGCTATTCCGGCAACATTCTACTCACTATTCCTTCTTATAGCATTGAAAGTGGTTCTCTCATGAGTACTTTCCTCAGGATATAATCTCTGCCTCTTTTTGAAAGCTCGGACAAGATGAATCCTCCCAAACCCTCGCCGAACCAGACGTCGCTGTTCCAGGTCTATCTCAGACTGCGTCCTCCCATCACCAAGCAAGAGGCTTCAAATGCTCAGCTTGGAGAGAGATTTTTGAATGTCGAGCCTCCCACCCCTGTCGAGGGGAATCAGAACTCCCATGACACCACTAGCCACCCGACCCATATTACTCTGCAGCCTCCAAATGACTCCCGTAAGCGCGCCGTGGAGAAATTCGCGTTTACAAGGGTTTTCAAGGAGGACGCCAAACAGCTTGATGTTTTCGAAAATACTGGGATGCCCTCATTGATCAATGGTGTGCTGAATGAAGGTCGAGATGGTCTCGTCGCGACGTTGGGAGTTACAGGGAGCGGGAAGGTAAGAGAGCAATGAGACCGGTCAAGAGCAGAGTGGGACTCGTTTTACTGACTTATATCCCCAGAGTCACACTATCCTTGGATCGAAAGCGCAACGCGGAATCACGCAGATGTCGTTGGACGTCATCTTCAAGTCGCTATCATCTACCATTCGATCCGCAGACAACCTGGAAGACCCGACTCTCCTAGCTTCTCTAGCTGCATCGGACCCATCCGAAGCGCAATTATTCTCTGCGAAGACATTCCTCGAGAGTATCTACGGCGATCCCCATGCTGAGCGGGGTAGAAATTCAAGAGCCCAAACTCCAATGGCATCTTCAAGAGCTCAGACACCAATGACGGTATGGAGTAATTTTTGCATCGACTTATTTCAGATCATACGCCATCGTCGATTGGGCTCTATACAATCTCAAAAGGACGAAGGCTGACAATTCATAGGATTCCTTATCCACTCCGATCTTTCCACGGCGCCATCTGCTCCAGCGGCCGAGCGCACTTCCCCAGCTTCCTGATGTCAGCCACTTGACAGTGCCAGTTAAGTCCAAGAGCGAACACGTGGTAATCGTTTCCATGTACGAGGTATATAACGACCGCATTTTTGACCTTCTGTCACCAACGCTAGTCCCCGGTCCGGGAGGCATGGTGGCACGGCAGGGAGGGAACGGCCAGAAAGACAGACGACGACCTCTACTTTTCAAATCCACTGAGGGCTCCCCTGACCGCAAGGTTGTTGCGGGACTGCGAAAAGTGGTCTGTGGCAGCTATGAGGAAGCATTGATGATTCTGGAAACTGGTCTTATTGAGCGCAGAGTCGCTGGAACAGGAAGCAACAGTGTGAGCTCACGCAGCCACGGCTTCTTCTGCATAGAAGTCAAGAAGAAGGTCAAGGGCCGGAGACACGGGGAAGAAACCTGGTCAGGTCACACGTTGACAGTGGTAGATCTTGCTGGTGAGTATCCTTAGTTCTGTTGACCTCTTTGCAAAATAGCTGATCTGTCATTAGGTTCTGAGCGCGCAAGGAATGCGAAGACTGCCGGCGCAACATTAGCTGAGGCGGGAAAGATCAACGAAAGTTTGATGTATCTCGGACAATGTCTGCAGATGCAAAGCGATTTCCAGGACGGAAACAAGGTACATTCAAGACCTCCACTCTCTAGTTTGATCATGCATTAACATTCTCTAGACCGCTCTTGTCCCATTCAGACAATGCAAGCTCACAGAACTGTTGTTTTCGAACTCCTTCCCATCTCCCAGCCAACACGCGACATCACATCACCGACATCCGCAGAAAGCAATAATGATCGTCACTG